CAGTCTACCTTCAGGACGTGAGCCTCACGTCGTCCTAGGTCCACGGAAACCGGGGCAGCTTCGTACACAGCGAAGACAGAGCTGCCGCGTACCGATACAACATCGATGCGCAGGATACGCAAAACCTCGACCACGTCGCGTCCACACATACGGGCCTCGGAGGCACATGGTATAATGGAGTGGATCAGGTGCGAGCGCACCTACAAACGTTTCTAGCTTTGGATATAGATTCTCGGTCCTCTAGCTATACGTACCGGAGGCAGGACAAGCCCAGGACGATATCTCGTATATCTCTATCAGGAAGTGGACAGGGCAGCCCACTACCTCGCTTCAACAGCCTTTATACGAGGCCGAGGAGGTACGAGCTGACTTACGTGCGTTGTCCACGAGGTACTGACTATGATGTCCCGCCAGTATGCGACGGTGACCAATCAAAGCCCAGTATGGCCGGCACAGGGGATAGGGTCTTTTAGCGATACCCACGAGCCCTATAACCAACTCCCGGAGTTCCAGGCATCGACACCTGAAATGAGTCAATCGACGGCTCCCGGGAACACATCCAATGAACTCACCGAACATTCGGAACAGCCAGCGACAGGGCCACAGGGGAGCACCTCAGCTCTCAGGCAGTCAGTTGCTGCACCATCGTCATGGGGTAAATCCACTTCCCGTCGCCGACAGTATGTCTTTCGCTTCTATCGACCGCCGCAGTCGACGGCAGAGAGGGCAGCGTGGGTTGCGCCGCGCCATGCCCCGGCGCCAAAACAACGGAAAAGACCGCGAAAGATTGAAGGAATTATCTCGATTGGCGTCAGAGACAGAGCCATTCGAGAGCGCTGTGTATTCAAAGGCGTGTCCGTCGATGTGCTCGATGGAGACAGCATGGAGGGGTGGGGACGCCGCGACGACATAATGTTGCAAAGAGACGAAGGCGGATACCAGCCTTGTCTTCTCAAACTCAAAGTACGTCTCGTCCTCGCCCGACAGCAGAAATAGTTGCTTACCGATCCTTAGTACCGACAACACGGACAGGCCATACGCGTCAATCTAAACGAAACCAACGATACGATCAGAGTCCGGGACTTGGCGCGGATGATTGCTCGACATTTTGGGCGTTGGTGTAGAGAAAGCGATGTAAGCTATATCATATGTTTCTGGACCGGTCGGCTTGCTCACCTAGTGACAGGCCCAGAGGCGAGCTGTATGCCAGCAACTAGGGCATCCATCCGACCAGTCTGGAGTGTGCGAGTGCGGCCGTGAACCGACGCCGATGGAGAACATTATCTTGACGAGCATAGAGCAGAGGGGGAACCACTTTACGGGAGTATTCGTGGACCGGTGAGAGAAGGATGTTTCATCGTCGATGGGGAGATCGGCCGTTGAGAAAGGCATCGGGAGTGTTCGGACTCTGAGCAAATTAGTATTCGTATCCGCCACAACTTAAGGGTCGCTGACAACCGTCCAATTTAAGGGCTCTGATTGCGATGGAAACATCGTTAACTCATGCGATTTGGCCGTCGCGTTCGATATCCATGATATCATGAGCCTGTCATATACGATGGAGGTAAAAAGCGCACAATTCACGCATCCCAATGATCTCAAATTGCGCAACGAGTAATCGGGATCACAGACAACTGGTGTTGGCAAGTACCTGAGCCGTCTGAGGGATGGCAGAAGGCAGGACCGCTGGGCGTAGTTTTTATGGGCTCTGTTCCCCATCTGATAAGCCACGCCGCACGCGTTCGGTCGGCGAGATTCTAACGAAAGACGAAGGTAAAGACCCCAGACATCCTGACTAATCGATGTCTTGGTTTACCACGGAAAGAAATTGAAGAAATTGGTCTGGTGTAACCATATATAGCCCTCCACCCGCCATACACGGTACACTGGCAAAATCTAAGAACTAGTCATCTAACTGGTAAGAGCTGGTTATCACGGCTTCCCTCATCAAAGGTCTTCCGCTTGACCGTGCTCACAGGACCCACAAACATGCATCGACCAAGGTCAGGCTACGTGAACCCCACAATGAGCACGACAGCTCCGATCGCGAGGATAGCGTAGTGGCGTAGTTCGTGCTCATCGCGTCCACGGGACATGAGGTAGGCAGGAAGAAGAGGTAGGCAGGAAGAAGAGGACACAAATTAATGCGTTGAATATGAGAAAAGAGACACGGCATGGAATGCCAAGGAGCTGAGGAGAGGCGCGGATGGCTACCTTACGAGGGCACTGTAAACGTAGATAGGCTGCGAACTTGAAGACGGGCTAAGGGACAACAGCCCTCGTTCAGATGACCTGAGTCAGAGGTCATGTCACTATTCCATCACGGTGCTGACAACAGTAGACACTTGCGACTCGCGCCAGAAACGCTGAGCGCGACTGCTACAGCCGCAGACAACGAGAAGGCGTGGTCAAGGAAATCGTCATTATCGCGCCTCAGATCCTGCATAAAATAGCACATACTGACTCGATCAAGCGAATATACACGCAATGAATTATGCACACCACACTCACCGACACCCACAGGCCAAAATACGGAACCTGACTCTCATCCAATGCCCTAGATCGCCCACGCACAGGCATTGCATTATCCCTCGCAAGAGCGAGCTCGCCATGAACGCCGTCACCGCCGCCATTAAACTGCGCCGCACATATCTACACCAGGCGCATCAATGCCAGCTTCTTCACGACCGCATCATGATACCGCTGGGGGTATGACGTGCGCTAGACGGAGGCGATGGGCTGCGCGGAGAAGAAAAGCGCGAGCATGAAGGCGAGGCCGATGAGCCAGGAGCCGACGATGGAGGAGACGACGGCGAGCGGGGCGAGGATGACGGCATTCTTGGCTCCTTCCGCGACTTGCGCTGCGGTCTCTCAGCCATCGACAGTACATACTGCTTGCAGAAAGCCCAGGAAAACGACAAAGCCACGGGAGCTTCAGCCCGTGAAATTGGTAGTGATGGTTTTTAGTACACGGCCGAAGGCATGTGATTAGGGGCATACTTCTCGAAATCGATGGATTCGGATCCCTCCGAGTTCTACGCGCACGACTCGTCCACATACCATTCGCGTGAACTGGGAGGCAACGCGTACGTACCTTTGCAGGTGCCTTCACGAGGAGCGTTATCACGAGGACGAACGGCCCTCCTAACGTCAACCAAACATCAAACGAACTCATCCCTTCGATCGGCTTGGTGGCAATCGTATTAATAAATATTCACGCACCAAGCAATAGCAGCGATCTACACTCCCGTCAAGGTCCTACCTTGGCCAACCTCGGCTAGCGACGCAAGGTATACCGCTACGCTTGAGCATACGAACGGTATGATCATATCAGTCTCGAGGGGGTGCAATAAGGGGCGATACAAGTACTTGCCTGAGATTGCCCGAGGTGCCAGTGAAGACCATAGCGATCGAGTATATCCACCCCGTGCAGAGTTTACATTACGGCGCTTGCGTGTAGCCAGCTTTTACTTACAGCCGAAAATACTCTGAACACATATCACTCACTATGCAATACAAATCTCCGCAAGACATAGTGCGGTGAGCAGCATGAACACACTGCATATTTACACACATCCGCATCACCTACTAGTATCACTCCCTGCACCCACCACAGCACCAGAAAAGAAACCACTCACGTTCCACCACAACCCCAACGGCCCGCCCGAAAACAACCCCGTCTGGAATGCACTGATCATCCCCATCAGAATCCCAATCGCGCAGAACGACATCCCCAAACTCCAAACCGGGACTCGCTCTTACATATATCCCAGGTCGCGCAGGCGCTTGTCCGACTCATCCTCGACATTGGGGTGTGGTTGCGGGGAGGGCACACTCGCCAGGTCGTCGCTGTATCTCATTTTCTCTGAGGACATTTCGAAAGCAAGAAGGGTGGATGCTGCTGGAGACCATGATAAGGACCGCAGAAGAATATATTATGTCGGTTGGACAGCACCTATCAGGGAACCCTAACCTTGTGACGTGCTCTACTAATAACGTTGTGTGCCTGCTCTGCGCGTTCAGGTTAGCTGTGCATCTCAGGTGGTGAATCTGATCATAGGAAAGTTTACGGTCTTAATCGGATTACATAAGCAACTCCCGCCACCGCTGCAAGTCAAGCTCGGGAGGCGGGCAGATGCAGCCTCCTCCATGAGGGTACGGTAGGGTAGAAAATTCGGAATAAAATTTCTTTGAACTATAGTACATGTGCAGCTACGGTACAGTGCAGCTAAGTAAGGAATAAATACCAGGAGCAAGCAAGTAGGTCAGCTAAAGCTCGGGGCAAGCCACAGATCTGGGTGCCGAGTGGACTGTGATGCCGCGGTTGGGACTGTGAATTTCCCGACCCGAACCTAGCTGAGGAGGGGGTCGATTTTGGCGCTCGCCCGCGCCAAATCGCGTCACGACGCGATTTCCGCTGGCGAAATTCACAGTCCATAGCCTTGGCATTTACAGTCCCTCGGGTAGATATCTGGTTACCTCACCCGCGCGTTTGTAGGGTTCCCGAGCGCCTGATGT